TGAATTATTATTATTTTTTAAAACGAGCTGCCACAAGACACCTTCTTATGGAAAAATAGAGGGTTAAAGGAAAGGCAGGGAAAAAAGGAGGTGGGGTTTTTTTTTTTTTTGGTTTGACTTTCAAGAAAATGACGCTGAAATGAAGACGGTAAATCAGTTTCTTTTTCTTTATCCGCTTCTTAAACCCCCTCTTCCTTTAGCTAAGTGGGCAGGGGACGGCGCTGACGCCCTCTCCAGGGTCTCGAACTCTGTCTTAGCAATGAGGTTCTGCAGCTTCGCGGGTCCTTGACCTCACGCACCCCTGCGCGAGCCACGCAGGAGCCTTCACCGACGCGCAGCACCGCGCGCCCGGGCTTTCTCTGAACCTGTTGGGCCAAGTCGGGGATGGGGGTGGTTGTGCTCAGACCAGGGGGACGGCCTTCCGGAAGGGAGCCCAAGAGCCGCTGGCACTGCTCCCCTCCGCCCCTCCCCCTAGCTTTGCCTCCCTACCTAAGGGTTTGGGTTCTTTGCCCTGACAGGTCCGCTGGCACCCTCCTTCTGAGAACTCCCTTGGCCTTGACCAGGAAAGCAGGGAACCCAGGCCAGAGAAGGCTACTTCTGTCCCGGAGCGATCCTGCGCGCTTCCTGGCGCTCTTCCAGCCCACGCCTGCCTCTGCCTTGCGCGCCGCCCCCCAGCCCAGATGCCGGCGCCCGGCCGGGGCCCCCGCGGGCCGCGGCTGACCATGCCCGGGCGCCGGGGGGCGCTGCGCGAGCCGGCCGACTGTGGCTCCTGCCTGGGGGCGGCGCTGGCCTTGCTGCTGCTGCTGCTGCCAGCCTGCTGCCCGGTGCGGGCGCAGAACGACACGGAGCCCATCGTACTCGAGGGCAAGTGCCTGGTGGTGTGCGACTCGAGCCCGTCGGCGGATGGCGCGGTCACCTCCTCCCTGGGCATCTCCGTGCGCTCCGGCAGCGCCAAGGTGGCCTTCTCTGCCACACGGAGTACCAACCACGAGCCGTCGGAGATGAGCAACCGCACCATGACCATCTACTTCGACCAGGTCAGCCGGCTTGCTCGCCCACCCGCCGCCAGGGAGGAGAAGGCAGGGCAGGGGGCCAGAGCTGAGGTTCCCCTGTATCGGACCTGGAGTTCCCTGGAGCTCCCTCCTCTCTGTTCTGCCCTACCTTTTGGCTCGCTGTTCTCTTTCTATTCACTCCTTTTCCACATTGCAGCATTCGTATTCTTAAATTACCAGTTTACTGAGCACTTGGATTACTGAGAATCCCTTAAAGATATCAAAGATAAAGGTCCTGTAAAACTGATATTTGAAATATATTTCCCAAAAGGAAACGTTGCCAGTATTACTTTTTGCTGAGGGTGGGTGGCTGGGGGCGGTTGATGATCTTCAGGCAGTCAGGTGCCAATCTAAGGGCTGAGTGCATTCCAAACTCCTCCATTCAGAAAAGGAATACTCCAAAAGCCTAGCCCAGATCACAGAAGAGATATTTATTTTAGAAGATGGAGTAGGGAGAAAAATAAGTGAGGAAGGTTGTAGGGGAAAGAGCAGGAATCATTATATAAATATAAAACAAAGTAACATGGCTGTATAAAAACAAGGTATAGAAAATGATACATACAGTATGCAAATGCCCTGTACACAATATGTCAATATGTAATTTAGCTGTATAAATAAGAACAAAGAGCAGTGACTTACTTTGCTGCAAGTCACTTAACTTCTGTCATTGGGTTCCAAGCAACCAAGACTCAGAGAGGGTCAAGCCTTTGCAATTCTTTCTCTGGGTGATTAGTGTTAAGGGTTGAAGGTTATGACCATCCTTTTGTGTCCTTCCGGGTTGATTCCTATTCTTTTTCAGAAACAAATTAAAAAGCCTTTTAGTGTTTTTCAAACTTTACCTCATCAGATAATCCTTTTGCCCAAGCACTTCCCACACAATGGAGCACTGGGCCATCCCTGAGCATACCTGTGCTCCAGGGAACACTTTCTGGTGGCTTTATTGTCTCCACCAGTCAGCTCCAGAACGTAATAGCAGGCACACACACACCTGGCCTCTTTTAGGCCAGGGTATTCATTTTGTAAATCTTATTAAGGATCTTCTGTTTGAAGGGGTGTATTGCGGAGGGAGGGGGAATTTTTCTTTTATGTTTTTATTTATTTAAGATATAAAAATATTTTACTCATTTCCAAATCTTGGAGATAACAATGAAAGAGCATTCGGGAACTGTGTGCTCTATTAATAAGTTGTTCTCTATGTGCTATTAGTTTGTAACTATTTTTCATTTCCCAATGTCTTACCAATAGCTTCCACGGCATTTCCACATCCACCATTTCTTTGGGGTTTCAAGAACACAGTGATGAAGGGCAGGATCAGTAGTAATAGAATTCTAATTTACAGATAAGGAAACTGAGCAGGGCTAGGTCTTAATTGAGGTCCACATTTCAGGGCCAGGATGGGTGTCCTTTCATCTGCACCAACGCTGTGAATTTGCCACTTTTCTAAATTCAGAACTGAGGCAAAGGAGTGCCTGTGAAGGGAAGGAGCAACCCTCAGGGCCCAGTGGGGAATTCTTTATTCTCCTTTAAAGCATTGTGAGAAGACTGAGAGCAGGGGCCCTGGTGGGCAAGGTGGGCTGAGGGGAGGGTCCAGGACACTGGGGAGTTCCCCAAACTACCTCAGCTTCACACATTGCCTTCAGGGTCGCAGCTGTTCACTTACAATGAGTGTGTAAGGAGTAACCACCAGAGTTACTCAGGCTGAGGCTTATTTTCTGATCAGATGATGAAGTCTTGAATCTAGGGTGTTGTTGCTGTTGGCTTTCTGTTTTAGAAACCAAAGCGCCAGTGGGCCATTTTATTATTTTTACTGAATTATAATTTGTATATGAGGAGGGACGGGGGCGGGATCTGGACAAATTGGCCAGATTCTATCTAGAAATGTCTGAAGGGGGGGGTTGGGTCATAACTGGGAACCTGCCATTCTACCAATTCTGCTATGATACTGTAACCCTCTGGTCCCCTCATATTTGAGGAAATCCTTTGACAGGCTCATGTGATCTCCTGTCAGGTGGCTAATTCTCTCATTTATTTTCTTGCATGTTGTAGGATTCTCTTAGTTTGAGCTGTGGGTGCCCAAGCTACCAGTTCAATTCTTTTTATTTATTGAAACTCATCTGCATGACACCATTGCTCAACTAACAGGTAAAACAGGTTGCTCAGAGGAAAGTGAGGAGAAACAGGCAGCAGTCATTGTTTACTGACAAAGCTCTTTCATTCAGTATGCATTATTGAGCACCTACTGTGTGATGCCAGGGGCTGGGAAATGGGGGGGGGGCACATCTTAGAGACTATTGCTTCCCTGGGGGCAGGTGGAGTTAGGTCCTGGCTTCCGTTTATGGCAGCAGTCTCACTGAATCTGCCTCTTGCTCCATGGCCCTTTCCCCCACATCAGGTATGGAACTGTGTTTATGAAACAAAGCATCATGTTGAAGGTGTGGTAGGTAACCCACAGATCTCAGGAACAGACTTGAGCTGCTGCTATGTACCAAAGGGACTGTCTCCAGTCCCTTTCTCTCTGCCCTGACTCCAAGCATATCAAATCCACACTCATTTTCTGAATGCATGAATAAACCATAGTTGAAAAATCTTTAAAAATGATGATATATTAGAATAACTTTGAAATCGGTTCCTGCTGCAGGATGGTATAACTTCAGTTCTGCCCCCTTCCTGGAGAGGCCTGGCTGAGCCGAGCCAGTGTTGCCAGCTGCTCTGCATTAATGCAGGAAACCGGTGTCAGTGGTTGTCTGAGTATCATTAAAACAGGCTGAGCAGCAGCTGGCTGTTAGTACTGTATTCCCTCCCTCTTCTTTTTCAGGTCTTAGTAAATATCGGCAACCATTTTGATCTTGCCTCCAGTATATTTGTAGCTCCGCGAAAAGGGATCTATAGCTTCAGCTTCCATGTGGTCAAAGTGTACAACAGGCAAACCATCCAGGTGGGTAGCTTTCATAGGGGGGCCCATGCAGTTTGGTTAATGATTTCTCACTGCTGAAGGCCCATTTCTTGGCTCTGAGAGGCTGAGGAACTAAGGAACTGGGCTCTCCAGAGGTGCTTGGCCCAGAGCTCACTGGGGATCCTCTCCATCAGGCCCCTGGTGTGGGCTCTAAGGATGGGGGTGGGGAAGAAAACAGCAGGTGGGAGTGGGATTCTTTATGGTCTGCTGAGCTTTCCCCTCTGCATTTTAGGTCAGTTTAATGCAGAATGGCTACCCAGTGATCTCAGCATTTGCAGGAGACCAGGATGTGACCAGAGAAGCGGCCAGCAATGGAGTCCTGCTGCTCATGGAAAGGGAGGACAAAGTGCATCTTAAACTGGAGAGGGGCAACCTTATGGGGGGCTGGAAGTACTCCACGTTCTCGGGCTTCTTGGTTTTTCCTCTATAGATTCAGCCCCCCCGATGATGGGGAAGTTGCAATCTGGACGCAGGAATCCCCCCTTCATAACACCCTCAACTTGCCAGAATAGGACAACACATTTCCAGCCTCTGTCAGACTGTTGCGGTCCAAGAATGATTTCCTCCTAAATCTCCAGTATTTTCTTTGAATATTGACAATTCCTCGGGAACCTGGCCTCTAATTAGTTTTAGACGACAAGGTCTTAAGGAGAAATGAAATTATCGATTTGAGCAGTTTGTACCTGTGATTGTAAAGTCAATATTGGATTCTATTGTTGGGACCATTGACTTACCTTCTTTTGTTTGTACATTGTGTCATTGTCCCGATGGCAGGAGCACTGCTGTGGACCCCAGGATGGACTGCAGGTTGTAGTTGGGGCTCAAAGCAAGAGCCTGGCAAAGAACTACCCGTGGGACAGTCCTTGACCTGTGTCCCCTGTGTGTCTGTAGAGCCTTAAGAGGAAGAATGGCTTCACCCTCATTCTGTGCTTTTCCCCTGGGTGGATGGGAGGGGGCGGGGCATTGTGAACCTGTCAGGAAGTGCTTTATCCAGAGGAGCCAAGTGTGCAAGACTGGACTGACTGCGGTTTTGTTTTGTATTGTTTGTTTTCTTGAGCAGCTATATTTTCTTTGCACACGGGGCCCTCCATCCTTACCCTACTTTTAACTTCTGCACTGGGGTTGGGGTGGAGGGAGAAAATGTATGCTGAATTCATGGATGAGATAAAACAAAACAAAACAAAACCTGTATATTTTGTTTCGAATGAGACCTCACCAAACCAAAAGTATCTGTCTATCAGAGTAACAATAGCAAATGGACAAGTCTGCTTTTTCTTCCTGAGAGAGTCTCTCAGATGCATCTTTAGAACTCGCAACCTGGATTTTATTTATTTATTTATTTTTTATTTACACTTGGAATCCTTTAAGAACCTGGCATTGCTGGGTGGGCCTGAACTGTGCTGCTTGTGGCGCTGTCGTGACCAGATACCCTCAGCCCTGTTTTCCTCGAGTGCTTTGCCTTGTTTGGATCCACCTTGAGAGAGCACAGTGATCGGGTGCTTCAAAGAAGACAGGATCAGCCCCTCTTCCTTGGGATCGTCTTTTAATCTGCTAAGGAAAGGTCTTGGTTGACACTGGGGCAGGCACCTGGCAGGAAACCACTTGGAAGCCACAGCAACTAAAGGTATTGGTCAAAGCACCCAGGAGTGGTTTTACAAATGTTTTTTTTTTTTTTTGTGCAACACTGTTATTAAGACACAGCTGAGAGATGATGGGTGCAGGGCTCCTATGCCAAGGAAGTGTCACTAATCCCAAAGCAATCAAATATGAGACCTCAAACAGGATGTTAATTTGTTCTTTGTGTAACAATGTAACCAAAATATTGATAAAACTCACAATTTAAGATTCAGAATAAATGGGTTTGATGTCTGGCTTGCTCTAATCCCTCGGTATCGTCTCCCAACTGTCAAAATAATTGGGGAAGTAAAGGCCAAGTGTCAAGGACTTGGGGACTTTAAATCCATACGATGCCTCTTTTAAAAGTACGCACACAAACACGCACCCCTGTATGCAGATGCAGCTGTGGGTCTGGTAGGTATTGCATACTTAAATACATTCAATTTTGACTTGCAGTATTTTCCAACAGGAAGAGTTTGGGGAGAAACACAGAGGTGATAGCATTAAGAAGGTTTTATGGCAGGCTGTCCGCTGCCATCACAGGATCTCGGAATTGGTCCAAGGAGTCCTTTCCAGACTGTGTGCGGATGGGAGGCCTTGGGTTTCCAGTGCTCCCAGTTGGGATTACGAAAAGAGGTTTGACCAAGGGTCTAAGTTTTACTGTCCTTAAGTGAAGAACACAGTAAAACACAGAATTTGATTTGAGTTCAAAGTTTGTGAGGAAATAAATCAACCAAAAGTCTTGTAGAGTCCTCTGTTTCTGTGAGTAGGAGACTTACTTCCCGGACTGGGCATTGTTTATTAATGCTGGGGACAGAAATAGAAGGCAGCTAGCTGGAGTGTGCGCCCTTTGTTGTTCTCAGTTATTTGAATCCTGTTTCACTCATTTCCTTAACGTTGTGTTCAGTTTAAAACAAACAGGAAACCTCATTAGAGGACCATATGAGTACTTGTTACTTTTATCCCTTAATATATAAATACGTGTATTTGTTTGTATTGATACCTTTATTACATGCTGATTGTTATTGGGTTATACTGTCTAATAAATAAGTTATTCAATTGACCTATCTAAAACTAAGTATATTTCAGGAGCTTATTTTATGTTAGTAAAGCAGCTTCATCTTGCAATTCCACCTCTTTCCCCACCCGTTCCCTTTTCTTTCTTGATTTGGATATGGGCAGTGACACTAGGAGGAGGCCCTGCTGACAGCCTCTCTGAAGTTGTTCACCATCTACACAGGCATCTGCCCAGGCTGGATTTGGCTGAGAATCTTGAGAGATATGAAGCTTCCAGTTATGGTCCACACATATATAGGTCAGATCTAAAGCTGACGTGTGCATTTTCCTTTAATTGGAAAAAGGAGGTGTGTAACATGCCACAGCAAGTCTTGGCAGCCTTGGTGTGGGGTCTGGTTTTCTTGTCTGCAGAGTGAGATCATGGCCCTGTGTGGTCAGCCGCCCCCGGAAGCTGTTGTGAGGGGCCCCCAGAAGTGCTTTGAAAACAGGGCATTGGGGTAATGTGGGTGTTACTGTGGCAGAAGCATTACCAGAAAGACAGGTTTTTTTTCAACATGCAATTTGTGAAGATCATTTTAAATGAATATCTGACAGGAGGGCAATCGTACATGAAGGCAAATTTCTATGTTTCTCAGTGGACTATTAAAACTGCAGTGCTATATTGAGGGTTCCATTAGTTTGATTTTTAGGGATGATAATAATATCACAATGCATAAATTTTAATTTAATTCCACTATCAGTTGGGATTTTTGGCTGTCCTGTGGGGTTCCTGTTCATCTTTATGTTATAATATGTACTGCCCATCTTTTAGAAAAATACACAAATGTAACATTTCTGATACAATTTAAAAAATATAATTTGATTAATATAGTTAATATTATGGCATTTTAAAATTAAGTTACTTTAGTTGACAAATGTTAGTTCTACTAAATTGTAAATGCCCTTAAGAGAAATACTATTTTCTTCGCTTATATTCCAATTTGAAATGCAGCCCCAGTGATTCAACACCAGGTCCCGGGAAACTGTTGTTACCATCTGTAATTCCTGAGCCGTTTTTGCACCCTAATATTTTTAATATATGTGTTTATGTGCAAGTGAAATGATCAACATTTCTACAATGTGTGCTTTCTAAGGCTGCTCAGAGTACATGTGATAAAAACCTACTTATCATTAGCATGAAAACTCATGGAACCCTGTAGAGATGACATAGATTTACTTGTTTAAAAAAAGAATTAGCTAAATCTAGTTATATTGAAATTCAGAAAGAAAAATAGAATATACATATAAAGCAAAACAAAACCTTTGCTGAATATTTTATTTTACTTGTGGTATTGTTATTAAGGAAATTACAGTGGGCATATTCATAGTAACTATTACATCATACTGTTGAACTGTGAATACACTTACAAACACACCTACCTGATCTGTTAACATGGTAATATAATAAAAAATTATATGGATCAGCTACATTCTCCTGGAATCTGGAAGATGTAAGAGGAAAATTTGATGAATCACTTTCTACAAGCAAAACAAAAGCAGCGGCTGCTCCTTCCTGTGCTTCAGCTGTGCCAAAAGGAGCCAAGTCTGTTCTGTCAATTCCTGAGCCCACATTTTGCATCTTTTATAAAGGAACAAACGTTGTAAGAAGATAACATGGCTATGAATAAAATGGTCAACGTTTGTTTATATTTCTATGGCATACGAAATACATAATAATCTAATGCATAAATGCACATGGTTGAAGGAATTCTTATTATTTTTAACATGGTGTAAATAAATGGGAAACTCATAGAAGCTGGTTGCGTTGAATCATTCTAAAGGGTCAATGGTTCACTCTGTAAAATCACTTGTAAAAACTGCAAGACTATAATGAGTTTTGTCCTTTTGCTTTGCTTATGTGAAAATTTACTTATTGAAATTCTGTTTCCAAAATGGACACTTTGTTACTAAAATGGGAAATTACAAACATTTTAAAATTTAAGAGCCAAGCTTATAAATTTGTAAGAGTCTCTAAATTATTTTTGTTAGCCTTTAAGGCTCAAACACACCAAACATAATGAAAAGAATAACATACTCTTCCCACCCTGGTTTTGTTGTTTTACTCTTTTTGTGCCCTGTAACTTTTTCTCTGTACATTGGGAAGAGGTTAGCTGGTGATGGCCAAAATCATTAGTCAAATCTGCTTATGAATTTTCCTAGCATTTCAAACCATATTTTTTGCATATAGAATTCTCCAAAAACATATTTACTACTTTTGCAGTCAGGCTACAATTCATTTTTTGTAGATATATCAAATGTTGTTATGTTACATAGAGTGATGTGATTGGACACATTCAGTCCTTGCAGCCTCTCTCCCTCCCCCAAATAGGAAAAAGTTATGCTGAAAGTCTTTTAAAAGATCTCTTGACTATAAACTTCAAAAAATGTCATGTATGTGAGTTTGTATAATAACATTAACAGAAATATGAATCTTAACCAAATGAGCTTTCCTTACATCCTCAAACCCAGTAGGGTAACTTGAAATTTGCAAGGGCAAAAGGCACATAATTTTACCTCCTACAGATAATAGGAGTTCTGTTCCATCTTCCTAAGTGGGTTTTGCTGTGGATTTCCATCACTGGAATCACTTAAGTGTCTACAGCGTCATAAATCACCATCTTCATCAGCTTGCCCACATGCATTTGCTGTGTCTTGTAAATGAGCTGCTTGACAACTTAATTTGGAGAAGGAATCTTCATTCCCTCTTCTTAATGCCTACAGCAGGACTCCCCAGGGTGAGGATGCCTCCTTGCAGGGGAGCCAGCTAAGGAGTGGAAGCGGCTTATTAATGAACCACCACCAGTCCTGCATCCTGACTAGCAGTGCCTACATGTTCACCATCGTCCCTCCATATTCTTCAGGAATACTGATTTCGCCTTGGATTACATATCAGGTTGCAAAGGACACTAAGTTGTAGAAAACCAGCAATGCTTCGCAATGTGCGTCTCCTAGCTATTTTACGTCTATTGAATTCTATTTTATTAATTTAAAAATGCATGTGCCCATCTCATTTGCTTCCAAAGTGCCCTAGCACATAGGACATATAATTATTCCCTTGACTTTACACTAAAAATTGATCATTTACTGTGATTCTGGAATTATTATGATTATACACCTGACTTAAGCATATCATAGTAAAAAAGACTATCTAAAATATAGCTCAGTTAAGTAACACTTGGCAAATTTTCCTTACTAAAATACCTCACTTGCAATATTTTTACATGGGTCTCTTTATTTAAAGATTTTAGCCAGCTTTAAGAGTGTACTATTCTATGAAATGTTTGTCTTTGGAATGCTATTTTTAAATAATCACGTAACTTTAGATCATAAACAGTATATTTCCAGAAAGTAGTCTATCACTGAAAAGCAAATTTAGGATGTGAAAACCTGTCTTCTTCTTATATTTTCAGCACCATGTCAGGATACCATATTCTGGAATTGTAAACTGTCAATGGAAAGAGCAATTATATTACTCATAAAAATGATCTATGCTTTTGGGGACCAGGTGTAGATATTTCCTTTTTCATTCCACAAAATATCTACGGTTGCCTAGGGGCCAGATAGTGTGCTTACAGAGGATGACAGAAAAAATGAAGACACACTCAGTGTGAATCAAGAACTCTGTCCTTGTTAAAATCAGCCTGGAGGGTATCAAGTTTAATGGATGGTGAGGGGTAGACTGGAGAGGGTGTGGGAGGAAACTTTGAGTGCCTATGGGCTGAGGTGAAGAACGTAGTTTACATTTTTCACATATGAAGAAGAGAATGTTATTCTGGCACTGACATGGAATACTGAACATTAGCTGATATCTCAATTAAGAGCTCCTGTGTTACCTCCCTTCCCTTGCTGAACACGGTGGGATCTTTAGCCAACTAATGGCTGACGAGGGCTCCTGGACCAGCCTTGGAAGTACTACAGTGTATGGGGCAGACTCAGGGAATGCTCGGTGCTTTGAACGCAGGACAGTCTTGAGTTGCCCATTTTATACCTCATGATCTCTCCTGCTAGGTGGCGAGTTACTTGGAATGACAGAGTCATGTGAGAAGTAGACAAATCCTTAGAAACAGTCACGTAGCAAAGATCAAATGAGACGGCAGTTGATGCCTGTGTTCAACAGACCCATCAGGGAGCCATGCCGAGCACTTTGGTGTTTGTATATGATATTAATTAAATGAATAAAGATCTTACTTAAGAAAAAAACAAGAGAGAACTATGAGCCCAGAAGGCATGGGTAGAATCATGACTTCTGTATGTATTATATTTCTGCAACTTTGCACACATGTATTTGTACACATGTGAGTATGTGAGTATGAATAATATTTATAATTAAAATTTACCACTATCATAGCCTTATCTATATTTTAAGCCATTCTGAAAACTTGCTCTCAATAGAAGGGATGATGGACCCAGTGTCTTTGCTTCGGTATAGAGTTTCACTTACACTTCTCCCTCTCAATTATTTTGCCTGTGTTTTGCAATTATTTTTTGTATTCAATCTTCAGAATTTATTTCACCAGAAGGTAGAAATTACATCTGGTCTCCCAGACAGACAGAGATTGAGAATTGTTGAGAGTAATTAGACCAGCTGGAGCCATAAATCCAGTAGAAAGTTATGATCAGTGGATCATGGCCTAATCTTCTCTTCACCCATCGCATCTGAATTACCTTGGCACAAAAACATGACAAGGGGCTGGAGTTTTAAAGGAAATTGCCACATCTCCCCAGTCATTAGCAGGCAAAAGGCATGCGTGCATCAGGCTGTGTTAATTAGGGAAGACTTATTCTCCCCAAAGACCTATTACTTTTTCATACTTTTTTTAAATGTCTCAAAATATACTGCACCAAACAGTGGATGTGATATGATTTTTTTATTTACGGTTCTCAATAAATTTCTGAGTTTGTTTGTTAGAAAAAAAATTATTTGTTAAAATAAATTTTGTCTCTTTATCTTAATGGAGAACTGAAGTGATCCTAAATTTATTTTATTATATTTTCTTCCAAAATTCCAGAAACATTCATTTCAGGGGAAAAAAATATCCCCAATAGATGGTGCTGCTGCTGTGATTTAAGCCATTGCATAATTAGTATGCAAAATGTTCCATGGAGAGGCCTCTGGGAATTCCCTTACATCAAGTTATAGAAAGACAAAAATGTGGCTTTATTTTTGCTAAATGCAAATTGACGTAATTGTGTAATTTGAAAACCTCAGAAAGATTTTGTGATGTTTTGAGCTTAAGAATTTACTTTTCTCCATTGTTCATGTCTCAAATATCTTTGAAATACAAATGCAAACAAAATTAACTCTTATGAAAGGATGAGATGATTGGCCTTCCAGGTTTTTCTCCCATAATGCTCATGGGTCTCTTAAAGTTATACGGTGAAAATGAGAGTGTACATTGTATGGGTTCCTTCCTTTATATTTAGAAGAAGATGTCTGGATGTGAGAAGTGTGTTGGAAGAATGATGTTGCTTCCAAATGCTGATAGTGAACACTTAATATGGCCAAAGAACTGAGTGCTCTGCTGTGATCTGTCCCTACAACCATTAGGACATTACTTCCAGCAGATACTTTAAATGCTATGATCAAGGTCTCAGCACAAGTATGTTGCAGAGATGCAATTTGAATTGTGCACTCTCGTACTTCAGAACCCCCTTTTTAAAGACTATTGTTTGTATGGCATCTCAGTATGAACAGTACAGTGTGAAAAGGCATTTTGTCAAATAAGAAAGCTACATTCTATCAGTAATCTCGTACCTGCATCACATTTATCTCAATAAAGCACATTGTTTTTTAAAAAACAATTTTAAGGCTGCAAATATAATAACTGCTTTATTATAATTGTAATAGAAAAATTGCAATATTTTTATAATATAAATTTACCAAAACTCTCATATCAGAAACACTGAAGTTTGGGTTCTCACTGGTTAGTCGTCATCCCCATGCACACACACACACACACACAAAATGGAAACATTTTTTCCTTTATTTCTCTTGACAGAATTCTTTGCAAAGACAAACTCAAAATTACTCAGGCATGTAAATAAAAAGTTTATTTTCTCAACGATGTTGCATGTTTTATAAGTCCACATATCACTCTCTGTTTAGGAGTGTAGAGCAAAGGCTAAGAAATCAAGTGCATTAAGCAACTGATGTGTACCTGAGGTGAGCAACATGCCTCTTTAAACTTGCCTGATTGGAGAAGTCTCCCTCAGAACTAGGAATAAGAAAGTTCCTGAAATGATTGCATGCCTTGCCCTAAAGCATAGTAGCAAATTTAAAACTAACTAAATTAAACCAAGGGGAGATTCTAAAGATGAAGAGTGGCATTTAGTTGTAGCCTACCTGTACACCAGAAGAAACAAAGTTTCAAAGTGAGGTGTTAAAAAGGCTACACAAAAGATATCTCCAAACTTTTTGAAGTTGATTTCTCTTTTTTTGTTACCTCCATGACCCTTTTTGTAGCACATTCACAATCCTAAAGATTGTGGATGTAGAAAAGGGCTTATAATAGGAACTGTTACATCTAAACTCTCTATAATTCATGTGTTCATGATACTTTAAAAACAATATAGGTTTTTAAAAATTTTTTTGGTAGTTGTAGATGGACAGAATACCTTTATTTTATATGTTAATTTTTATGTGGTGCTGAGGATCAAACCCAGTGCTTCACACATGCTAGACAAGTGCTTTGCCACTGAACTATATCCCTAGCCCAAAAACAATATAGTTTTTTTTAACTTGTTTAAGGTAC